GTACGATTATATAACACGTCACTTTATCGCTACGGTATGCTCGATTTCGTGGTATTTGTGAAATGTTTAGATAGAATAGTCATTGATATTATAAACTGATATTATATAGCATATATGCCATTAGTGTCAAATTTAGATGTAAAATATCTTGTAAACTATTCATCTTATATAACTTTATATCAAAAATTGCAAGGAATTGATTTTATATAAAATAATAATTTTATATAAAATTACAAGGAATCGAATTATATAAAAAGATACAGTAGTTTAATTTAAAAACCATAAATGACCTTCAAAAGTGTTCTTCAGAAAAAGTCAGTAGCGCCACCTTTCGTCCCCTTCAAATTAATCAACTTTTGCTTAAAACATTTTGTTGTATATTTTTTCTCTCTATGTTCTGGATTCTGTAGTTGGCGCGGGATTGCAAGTACTTGAGCACTACAATAAAATTCGAGATAGGCATGGAGATATTTACAGTGACTGGTCACAGTTTGCTGAGTCCTGGATACACAAGTATTCTCACTTGGCAAGCGCTCGGCAACAATGACACTTTGCCCAAGTTTACGTTCGACGAGAAAGTTAACATACAAGAGGTAAAATACATCTTTTTATCATATACTCAGTGTTTGCTGTTATTTAAATAAAATTATATAGATAATTATCTATATAAAACTTTGGCATTATCTTATCTTTATATAGATAATAAAAATATGTATTATCTATATCTGCATATCTTAGATGAAAAAAAATATTATTTACTAAATTATCTAAAATAATTTTCAGATAATTTTGATTTAGAATCATAGCATAAAAATACTTAAATAGTAGAACTTGAGCAGTAAACGATAAAAATTTATAAATAAAAATATGAATACATATATTTTTACATTCCTTTTATAATTTACATTTTTTTATAACTGTGTTTACGCAAGCAGTCTTAAAAATTATTTTCTAGAAAATTATCTAGATAAATCACCTTATAATTTTATTTTTTATCTAGATATATTTAAAACAAAATCATCTTTATCTTATCTAATTGTAAGATAAATTTACATATTTTTATCCCATCTTTATCTAGCTAATTTTAAAATCATCTAAGCACAACACTGCATATACTGCATGTATTATTCTCTATTTCTTAGTGTATCTAAACAGAGAGTACTGCAACTTGCGAATAGAACATCTCTTTTTAGCTTAGTAATTTTACTGCTATCGAATCAACATCTTGAAAGTTACACTTGAAAAGGACCCGTACCTAAGGGTCGAAACGTAGTGTTTTTAATAAATTGTACTAGCTAGTTAGGTCGAAATTTCAATAAATTTGTATCTCTTTTTACTATTTATAGGCAAAATTAGTCGAATGTTATACACAACCACCGGATTATTTAACGGAAGCGGAACTGATATCTTTGATGGAGAAACACGGCATTGGAACGGACGCTTCAATTCCTGTACATATAAATAATATTTGCATTAGAAACTATGTCACTGTTGCAGCAGGTAGAAAACTGGTGCCCACCTCTCTCGGAATTGTTTTGGTTCACGGATACCAGAAGGTATTATTGATCTGTCATTAATTTACTAGATGCTGATGATAATACTTTTTTTTGTAAAACGTTTATTCTTTTCTATCGTTAGATAGACCCTGAATTGGTTTTACCTACAATGAGATCTGCGGTGGAGGAGCAACTAAATCTAATAGCATTGGGTCGCGCTGATTTTCACGCTGTTTTACTACATACTGTAGAAATATTTAAACAAAAGTTTCATTATTTCGTGCAGAGCATAGAAGCTATGGATCAGTTGTTCGAAGTCTCCTTTTCTCCGCTGTCGGCATCCGGCAAAGCACACTCTAGGTATACATATAATAACTGCTTTACTTGTGCTTTTTTGTTTATTTTATATACATTACTTTTATATTTATTAATATTATTTTTATTTTTATTTTTATATTATTATTTATATTTTTGTTTATTTTACAAATTATATCATACTTATTATTATAGTAATTTTCATAAGGATTGTGCGGACATTTTATGTAACAAGATTTATTTTTAAAATGTGTGTGTGTGAATAATATTATATAATTATAATAACAAGTATAATATAATTTATATAAAAATAAACAAAAGTATAAATAATAATATAAAAACAAAAATAAATATAAAAAAAATATAATAATTAAAATAAATATAAATATAAAAATAATATTTTTTTGATTGTTTATTACATATATAGATGCGGTAAATGTCGTCGATATATGAAGTACATACAAACCAAACCATCTAGAATGCATTGTGCGCATTGTAACGAGACTTACAATTTACCTCAAAATGGAAACATACGAATATACAAGGAATTGAAATGTCCATTGGATGACTTTGAGTTGCTCTCATGGTCAACCGGAGCACGAGGAAAGAGTTACACGTTTTGCCCATACTGTTACAACAATCCACCGTTTAGGTAATTAATGGAATTTAAAAAAGTCTATCTAAAGAGAGAGGAAGATTCGAGGTTTTCTTTTATTTTTTTAGGGATATGAAGAAAGGAATGAGCGGCTGTAATTCCTGTACACACCCGACGTGTCCGCATAGCATGAATTCGAACGGCTTGTCCAGCTGTTTGGAATGCGATCTGGGTATCCTCGTGCTGGATCCTTCGGCCGCACCCAAGTGGAAGCTGGGATGCAATCGCTGCGACGTTATTATTCATCTGTTCGAAAACGCGCACAAAGTGACAGTCGATACGGACACGTGTGACTGCGGCGCGCAATTAGTAACAGTCGAGTACAAACAGGTGATGACAGGCATTTTGCATCAGCACAGATGCATAGATATGAGAGGTCTGTTTGTTTCAGCTGAACTAGTTCTGGCTGCACTAATTCAGAGTAGTTCAGAGAAGTGCAGAGTTTCTTTTCTTCCAATGTGGAGTAAAAAGATGAACTCTGAACTAGTTCAGTTTAGCTAAAATGAACAGACCTACAGAAAGTAGGAATGGTGTGCCATAAGAAACTAATCAGCTGTTATTTTTAATGCATGCAGTTATTGAGAAAACAAAAATTGTGTTGAAAAGAGGAAAGTATGCAGTTTTTCATGGATATAAATAAAATGTTTGTATACCAGTTTGTTTTATTGAAAAGAAATAATGAAAAAGTACTAATAATTACATATGTAAACTAATGATAAATATTTTCGAAGTGCGCACCTTTGAATTTGTACAAAAATGTACAAATTTGTTCTTTTACGAAAACTTGTAAAAACTTTTTCTAACATGTCATTTTTAATGTTATCGACAATCCTTTTAATAACTGCTATTAAATCTGGCACTGTTGAAAATATTTATCATTAGTTTATGTGATTTTGTGTGATTATTAGCACTATTTTCATTATTTTTATCAATAAAATAAATCGGTATATAAACGTTTTATTTATATCTTAAAAATTATAGCACTTTTTATTACATTTTATTAATAAAATAAACTGGTATATAAACATTTTATTTATATCCAAAACTGCAGATTTTCCTTTTTCAATTGTTGTTTTCTCAATAATTGCATGCATAAAAAAATGACAGCTGATTAGTTTCAGCAATTTTCTATGGAGACATCCATAAAGGATTCTTGATTTCGATCCTTTTTTTTTAGTTAAACTGGCTGCATTCAATGAGAGTTTATTTCTTTTCTTCCAATGTGGAATAAAAAGATAACTCTGAACTAGTGAATTTCAGCTGAAAATAACAAACCTTACAATTACTTTTAAAAATATCGATATTTTTAAGGTTCACGGTTTAAACCCAAAAACCAATTCTAATAACGAGTTTTATTAAGTAGCTCTATTCCTTTAATTCAGATGGATATTTTCCACTTATAATACAAATTGAAGCAGTCTATAAACTTCCTCTATTTTCTATGCAACTGAATTATCAGTGTAAATCATCATCATCATCTCTACAAATTATATGCTTTATTGTGTTTATTTTTCTTTCAGGATAAGAGTAAACTTCCTAATGAAGCGACTGAAATGTCCGGTTGTGTGTTTTGCACCCCGGTCTTCGCCTCGTTAGTGGAGAAGCATCGTGCGGTGGCTTCGAAGCCGGTCGTCACACGTGGTCGAGGTCATGTCAAGAGTCGTAATCGGGGCAAACCGAAACCGCCGAAGGACAAAATGGCACAATTAGCGGCGTATTTTGTATAATGAATCCATTGAGCCGGGAAGCGCATATAATCGGAAGCCATTTGTACACATTTGTCTCGAATAAATCGTCCTTCATCGTCCTACATTGCAGCATTTAACGACTCATTCGATTTTCGTTATTGGCTCTTTCATTAAAGACATACAATAACATTTATGCATAAGCATTTTGCGCTATTTTGAACCGGATTTCAATTAAGCGGACGAATATATATATCACGAAAAAGCTAGTTATTTAACTAATAAATTTATATTTTCTATTTCTATTATATATTATTTACATTTTTATTATATATTATTATATTTGTTTAATAAATTTAATTTATTATATTATTTATTTATTATAAATTTCTTATTTATTATTGTTCTCTATATTATTTTCTACTAAATTTTCTATATTATTTTATATAAATTTATTATTTAATTAATCTATATTTATGTATACTTATATTTATATACATTTATTATGTAAATAATAAATTATATAATGTAATATAGAGGATTTTAAAAAATAATATAAAGAATAATGTGAATTTATAAATAAATAATACAATAAATTTATATATAAATTAAATATAAACATTTTATAAATATATATATATATAATATATATAAAAAATAAAAAATATATATAAATTTATAATTCTATTAATTTTATTTTTAAAAATCAATTCGATGAGATGTTCTAACAAAATTTTATGTTTTTATTAAAATATTAGACACGATAATTTTGTGCGTAAAAGTATTTTTATATTCGAAAATTATTTCCCGACCTACAATTTGAAATCTATCAAAGCGATATTGTAATTCTCGATATATCGAATCGATTTCAAGTCGACTTCTTTTTCAGCTGTTTATCGAAAGAGTACATATGGCAAATTTTTGACGGTGTTGTTACTTGTTACAGCAAAGTTGCAGCTTTCGTATCAAGAATTGCATTTTCTTTGCAGTAGATTCATTATGGGATTATGCAATATCGAATGTGTAGAAAGAATAGCGCAATATCTTGACGTTCCTTCGAAAAGGCTAGAGATTTCTAATAAAAATGTGAGCATTATTTTATTATAATTTTTATCATAATTTACTTACTAATTATTATAATTTATTAAAAGAAAACATATAATTTATTGTAATTTACTAAAAATAGTTTATTATAATTTACTTATAAAATTTAGAAAGCATGTCTAAAGCTCGATAACTTTATTCTCATATATAATATATATATATATATATATATATATATATATGTATATATAATTCAAATTAATTGTTAAGATTAAATTAAATTAAATTAAATTGTTAAAATATTAAAATTAATTAAATTGTTAAAACTTAATATTCCACAAAATTTTCTTGCATCGAGTTAAAAATTAACAAATTTTTATAAAATTTATTGAAATAGTCACATATGTGATGTTGTTCCAGGTTGTAGTACTTATTCCAGAATCTGAGAAAAATTCACCACTCATTCAAGGCTTCAGTACTGTTATACAAGCGCTAGTAGCAAAGTCTAAATGCTCAGATTTGCTCTGTGGTGAGAAAGAAGTGCAGGCTCTGACGCAACAATGGTTAGAGTATGTCGCAGTATGCGTCAATCATGCTGACCTTTCTATCAATGCCAAGAGAGTATTAAATGTAATGTCACAATACATTTATACTTGAGGTAGACAACAAATAGAATATACATATGCTTTCTGTGATTGTAGGAATTAAATATAGTATTGAAAGATGTACCATATATAACTGGTACAGAGAAGACTATTGCAGATGTCACGTTGTACTACATCTTGCACTCTATCATGGTAATAATTATTATTATTTATTATATATTATTATATATTATTATTATTATATATTATTATATAATATATAATTATTAATATATACAGGGTATATCATAGGAAATTACTGAAACTGTCATTTTTAGCTGTTATTATTTTAATGCATGCAGTTATTGAAAACAAAAATTGTCAGAAAGAGAAAAGTCTGCAGTTTTTAATGAATATAAATAAAATGTTTGTATACCAATTTATTTTATTAATAAAAAGTAATGAAAAAGTGCCAAATTTGATGAGTTTTTGTAAAAGAACAGAATTTTGTACAAATTTAAATGGCGTGACTTTGAAAATATTTATCATTAGTTTACATATGTGATTATTAGCACTTTTTTCATTGCTTTTTTTAATAAAATAAACTGGTATACAAACATTTTATTTATATCCATTAAAAACTGTAGACATTCTTTTCAGCACAATTTTTGTTTTCTCAATAATTGCATACATTAAAAAATTACAGCTGATTAGTTTGAGCAATTTTCTATGGGACTGTATTTAATATCATGGTAATGATTATAATCAATATATATATATATATATATATATATATATATATATATATAACACATTGTTTTTTTACAAGTTTTGAACAATGATAATCTATATAACTTTCATATCCCTTGCTTTTTTTATAGAAAGAATTAAATCGACAAGAGAAAGCTCAATACATACATGTATCGAGATGGTTTGACAATATTCAGCAAGAAGAGAGGTTGAGACGAGATTTGGATATGATATCTTTTAATTTATTACACCTATTTCTGTAATATAAATCGACATTTTAAAAGAGGTAAATGATTAGTTTGACTTTTATATTTTGATAAAAATATAATTGTTTGATGCTCTTTTATCTGAAAACAAAGCTTTGAAAAGTAAAAATTATTACTTGATAATATAAAAAGATTTTTAACAAATTGGAGAATCTCATATAGATGAAATACAATAATATGAGTCAATGTGATAGAAAAAGTGATATAAAAATTTAATATTTAGTAGATTTGTTGTTTCTATCAATTATATTTATATTCAAAGCAAGATCCGAAAAAATTTTATTACAATGAATAAAATTCATATTCCAAAAACTTGTTTGTTGTGACAAATGGAATATCAGTATAGATTATTTAAAAAAATGATATTGATACATTTAATTTATGGTAATCTATTACGACTTATTATGACGATATAATTTACAAAAATTCATAACTTTATTTATATATACATTTTTATTATATGCATATATATAAATGTACAAAAGGCAAAGTATCTCAAAATACATTTGTTGAAATTTGTTTGAGCAGCAGTGAGTGAATGCATCTTTAATTGAAAGAACTTAATTAAAAGGTTTCTAATTGCTAATTAGCTAGTTGAACACTAAAACTCTCTGAATAATTGACTGTGTTGATTTTCATAGGCATTGATGTTAATTTGAAACAAAAATTTTTATCACGAATGAGTTGAAGATTTCGTATCAACATACTATTTCAATCATTTTAGTAATAATACTACTTCATCTTAATTTATTATCTATAAATAGAGAAAGTTATATGAAAGAGGTAATTATATGTAATATAATTATATTTAGTATAATATACACATATAAAAAAACTATCATTTGAAGTGATAGCATTTCAGAATATCCCTAATCAAGTAGCTAATTAGTAATGTGGTCTATTCAGTGTTTGCTGTTATCTAAATAAAATTATATAAATGATCATCTAGATGAAACTTTAGCGTCATCTTATCTTTATACAGATAATGAAAATATATTATCTATGTCTGCATTTTAAATGAAAAAAGTATTATCTTTAAATTATCTAAAATAATTTTCAGATAATTTTGGTTCAGAATCATATAGTACATAAAAATACTTAAATAGTAGAACTTAAGCAGTAAGCGATAAACATTTATAAATAAAAGTACATACATGAATACATATATTTTTATATCTCTTTTATAATTTACATTTTTTTATAACTGTATTTATACTGTACTGTATTTACATCCTGTCTATTTTCTTTAGAAACAAAATTATTATTCCATTATTCGGCTGCTTTACTTTCATTTGATACTAATTATTTTTTTTATATATATTATCTATTTTAATAGTAATAATAATTTATCATTCAAATAAGGTCTCGTTTACAATAAGTGATTGAAGCTTAACTGTGATTGGTCAATTTCTCAAATTACTTATTGTGAACCAGGGGATCGATTGTATATCTCAAAACCTAGTGAAAATGACAAAAGTGAGCATTCAGTTGATTGGCTAATTTTCACTATAGTGAAAACACGAAATATTTCACGTGAGATTATTCGACAAGAATTATTGTGTCGAATAATGTCAAAATGCGTCGTATATCCTACTGCATTATATGTTATGTAGAGTAGAGCGCGATTAAAATACGTATTAAAAGAAAGGACATTACATTATATACCAGAATTTTCTGGTATGTAAATAATTATAGTGCATAATTGAGATAAGAAAAGGTATTTTTTAAATCTATTCTTTACAGCTCTAATTGTAAATGCATGTTGTGTTTTACATAACATTGCTTATAAATGGAGAATTCCATTAAATGAAGTATATTTGGAGGAAGAAGGAGAAGTGCCGATACCATTTAATGATATAAATATAATGCAAGCAGAAGTACGAATTAAGAAATATTGTGCGATGGTATTTTGAATAGGATATATATATATATATATATATATATATATATATTTATATATATGTATCACATAAAATTAGTACATTTCATAATCTTATAATAAATTAATAATTAAGATTATCACAGTACATTTCTTAACTTTATAATAAAAGATTTTTAAACACTACTTTTTATTAATGTATTGTTTTATATCAATTCTCATAACACGTTGCGTCAATTTTATTCAAGCATGTTCAAAAATGTATCCGGCCCCGACCGAAATCCGAATGTTTATTCATAAAATTTAACATAATTTCTTTTTGTTTCTCTGTAACATTCATTCTTATTCACACCGTTCAAACTGCAGAGGTTATAAAGATAAAGGTATCACTGAAACATATATGCATGCATATACGCTTTACGGAATGTTCACTATGGTTTGTACTCCCGTGAATCTAGGGATATCGTATTTTCATCTTGCTCATAGCCAATCGCGTGTATTTCTTCACGTGAAATGAATGTGCGAAAAGTGAGAAAAATCGACACAAATAGACAATCGATCTCCTGGCCTAATTAATATGTCCTTGTATGTATATAGCACAGCATCATTAATGGTTTTCTCACAAAGTATCGCAAAACTGACTAAAAATTACAAAAATAAGCAAATTTATTAAAAAATTTATAATTATATTCTAAACCTCTAATTGTAAGTAAATTCGTTTATTTTTATAATTCTCCAATTTGATAATATACAATCAACCCTCTGAAAGTTTTTTCAGCTGGATGCACTATAGTTCAAAATTTATCTTGATCTTTCAAATGTGTAGTAAAGAAGATAAATTCTGAACTAGTGCAACTAGTTTGGAGTTTATCTCTTTCCTTCCAAAAGAATAGACCTAAGAGAGACCTTTTCAGCTGAACTAGCTGCACTAGTTCAGAGTTCATCTTCTTTCCTCCACATTTGAAAGAAAGAGATAAACTCTGAGCTAGTGCATCCAGTTCAGCCGAAAAGAGCACGATGCGACCAATGGTTGGTAACGTTAGCGCTCTTCAATTATCTCCAGACTGGATGAGATGGAACATTTGTCGATGACGGTGCAGAGGAGGAGCACATAAATCTCAATCGCGTCTGCTTTATTCGTGCTCGTAACCATGCCACATCGTTTTTTTAACGATCATCGCTTCATTCAGCAGGCGCGAGATATGGCTCATCTGCGATAAACTTTACCGCACAAAAACTATATACAGAAACAATAATGACACCGCGTGACAGGTGATTAAAAAGGGGCGCAGGGAGACATTCTAGCGACATTCCCACGCTATTATCCGGCAACCGATCGTTATGCGTGCATACATACGCGCGATGGGTCGCTTCTCCGCGAATGTGGAAGCGATGCTTCGCGTTCATGAGAAATGCTGAGTCTTTCACGGTCGCTGCGCTCAGTAACGCGTTGTGCGCAGGCACAACACACATCGTCGTGGGCATTTGTCCATAATTTCGCAGACAGTAGCCGCCTTGCTTTCGATACGAACCGTTTGTACCTCTGCCTCGGCGCGGCAGTTCTGGCCTAATTGTGGCCTAATAGCCAAGAGCTGTCCCTCTCGACTCCTGCCTCAATAATTAGACCTAACGAGATGGCGGACGATTCGAGCGTACGTGTTGCCGTACGGTAAGTAAATAAATATGTATAATGTATAATGTACATTTTGACAGAAAGAGCCGAAAGTTAGGCTCCAATCCGCGTTTCGGTCTATCCCAATAAGCAACTCAAAGACCCGATTGATATTGATGACGTTTGAGGATATGAGAATAATATTTTCACTCTTTTGAAGAGCAAAATTGTTACGATTATGTTATTTTGTATTTTATTTAATTAATTAATTAATTTTGTTTTAAATATTTCTCATTCTAACGTTTCCTATATCGAAATTATTACCTCACCAGAGAAAAAAAGTGTCTCGCGTTACTCATCCCATATCACGTAATAGTGCAATTTCCGAGTATTAAATTTGAGAATAATTTTCTTTGTCATCGCACACGCACACACTGACAGGAAAATATAGAGAAGATTTTTTTCTCGCATGAAGAAGTCTGAATATATCAAACTCGAGCACCTGACCGATATTGCGCGAATACCGATCTCCAAACATCTCCTTTTACGACACGAATGCGTGGGCCTTTAATTACTAACTTGCCTTAAGAAAACACGCGTCAATTTCCGAGATTGATAGGCGCAACTGACTTTTAAATTGTAAAAAAATTTATAATATATCATTTTGTTTTTATAATATTTTATATATTTTTTAAATTAATAATTTATAAATTAATAATATAAATTGATAAATGCACCGAAATACAAATAGATTAATCGGAGAAAAAATAAGATATAGATTACTCAGAAGATAGAGGAAATCAAGGCCAAAAAAGGGGGATATAATAGATTTATATATATTATTCATAAGCTATATATAGGGTGTAATTAAAGGAACATATATACAGTGCACACCATCAAATTCTTTGGTCAATTTGAAGACGATTTTTCCGCAGTGAAAAAGTCGAGGCATCAATAATTTTCAAATTATCAAGAGCTTTTCACAAATTAAACTTTGTATATTTAAAATCTTAACAAAACTATATTTTTTACTCAAGTAGCAAATAACGTACGTCATTTTGACGTCGAATGACGTTATTAGACATTTTAGAGTTTACTTTAATAGAATTTTAATTTAAGGCTTAGTTACAAAAATACGAGTTTTCAAAAATTAGAAACATGCAAAAAATGATAACTGATTACACTGAGGAAAAATCATTTTTCCAAATTGGCTACAGAATCTGATGACGTTCATATATGTTTTTTCAGTTGTACCTTGTATAGAATAATAATAATAATTAATTATTATTTATTTTTTATTACACCATAAGGACTTCTTATCTAAATAAAATTATATATAGATGATTATTTAGATGAAATTTTGACGTCATCTTATCTTTATATAGATAATAAAAATATGCATTATATCTATACCTGATGACATTCATATATGTTTTTTCAGTTGCACCTTGTATAGAATAATAATAATAATTATTATTAATTATTATTTATTTTTTATTACACCACACAAGAACTTTTTATCTAAATAAAATTATATAGATAATCATCTAGATGACATTTTGACGTCATCTTATCTTTATATAAATAATAAAAATATGCATTATATATATCTGCATCTTATTGTTAGATGAAAAAAATTTACTAAATTATCTAGAGTAATTTTCAGATAATTTTGGTTTAGAATCAAGCACATAAAAATACTTAAATAGTAGAGCCTAAGTGGTCTTAAAAAT